GTGCTAATTAATGGAGGAACAAGCAAAATTATAATTTGGTTAAAAGAGGTTAAAGGTCATTTTCATTTTATGTTCAAGAGGCATTCTAAAACCATACAAGTACAGTCCAACCACTTTAATCCGGCATTCCATGATCTGGTAAATCCCATTCTCTGGAATTTTTTTTTTTAATCAGCCGTATTTAGTTTGTTGATTTTGTTCACTTTTCTCTAATTTTTGTGACACTGAAATCCGAAGGTATACTGTGATAGCCAACGATGCATTCCAAAAGCTAAGCAGAGTAATAAGAAATAGAAAAATTTTGATAGAAACAAAGAAAAGAGTATTAAACTGTTGTGATCTCTGGCTTCCTGTATGGCAGTGAGTGCTGGAAAATCTCCTCAAAGATGAAGAAGTGATTTGAAGCAACAGAAATGTTGTTCTACAGAAGGATGCTGAGGATATCATGGACTGAACATGTGAGCAACAATGAAGCTTTAGAGAAAATGGAAACAAAAAGGAAACTTATACTTAACACCAGGAAGAGATACTTGAAATTTGTAGGGTACATAATGAAAAAAATGAAAAATCTGATACTCACATAACAGATTGAGCGACGGAGGAAAAACAACGTTTAACATAAATAGCTTGAATAAATAGATGGCTGAACAGGGTTTAGGAGAGATAATAGACAAAATTTATTAAGAGCTACAAAGAACAGGAAATTGTAGAGAGGGACATGGCACATGAAGACGTTCATTGAGCGGCTATGAGTGCAGTACCACACATTGTTTCCAACTTTCCGCAGCAGCTGAATATTTTGGTGATAAGATCTTGCTCATTTCTTCTAGTGTTGATCCATTGAAGATGCTCCACAAGTGAACAGGAGTTGCAGATGATGGTACTAGCAATAAGAAGTGTAAGCATAAATCTTTGCCTATGCCTGTAATAGATAAAGATATTTAATGGTTATTGGTAAGAGTGTTGACTCAAGGGCCTTGCAAGGGGTGAAAAACTTTTACACTTGTTTACTTTGATAACACAGCAATGTACCATATATACTCACGTATCGTGCGACTTTTGAAGACCTAATTTTGAAGCTAATTTTAAGGGGGTTGCATCATACACGAGATATAAAATTAGCATATGTACAGCTGGTTCTGGCTACGCCATTGACAAAACTATCCATTTACTGTAGTCAAAGTACCTTCAAAATTAGATCTTCAAAAGTCGCATGATATGCAGATATATATGCCACGTCTAGAATGAGCTCATAAGACTGTTTACATTGTTTTTTTGGGGGGGTAGGATTTCTATCAGCTGATGTTTTCGGTGGTCTGACAGTGGTTAGATGCCAAGGATGCTGGATCAAAGAGGTGGAACTGTACTTCAAGTTCTGACTTATTTTTTAAAAATATTTTCCTGAGCTTGAGGCCTGCCAATTGGTTCTGCCAGGAAATAGGTCACACCCTCGGCCCTGGGGGTAAGATTGTGTTTTATTACTGACATTTCCTAAATTTAATTTGTTATCAAACATGAAAAGGTGAGAAAATGGATTTTGGAAGATTATGTTGTCCCAGTGTACCAGGGAACCATCTGGATTGAAAATCACGTTGTGAAATCCCAATTTTTATGTAAACATTGGAAACTGATGCTAGTTAGAAACGTACAGCTATGAAAACAGGGCCGAGAAAATTGTTGTTGTATCATATTATAGACCAATGGGAAGGAGTGTCTTGTATTGGCTAGCATGCTGATCACTTAACAACAAATTGGTGACACAGAATGGCTGAGGCAACTAGATGACTGCCTCTGTATCAATATAGACAGGGTGAATGGGGAAGGACTATTTCCTGTTGGCTGGCGTGCTGATCACTTAACAACAATGTGGTGATATTGTTGTTTACAGTTATTTTTGGTCAACACAACATGGGTTACATGTGGTTTTTGTTGGGATGCACAATTTTCACAGAATCTATGATATTGGGATCAGCTGGGTGAGATGGTAATGATGTTGAAAGATCTGAAACTAATAACGAACTCAGTATTCACATCACTGATGACACACCCAGCACATCTTTGTGATATATGTTAAGAAAAAAAAATAGCAATTTCAGTTGATTTTTAATTTTAAAAAGACTTGATTTGTGCATGGGAATGAATATTTATTAAAATTTTTTAAAGGTATAAAATTAATTTAGGTTGTTCATTTGAGGAGAAGATGGGTAGTATTGTGGTTATTGCTATTCACTTTACTGATACCTTTTGGAAAAAGCATGAACTCACTTACCCCTAGTTTACAGCCATATCACATTGAAACACTGGTTGTCATCTCATCACTGAAAGTAAGCAATGTTCAACCTGGTCAGTACATACGTAAATGGGTGACCATTGGAGAATATCAGGTTTTGTAAGCTTGGATGTGTGGGTGGAGTAATAAATAAAGGCTCAGAATAAGAAATTGGAGAGCCAAGTTCAAATTTCAGTCAGGTTTGTTGTATTCATTTACGTGCAAATACCCTTTGGAAATGTATGAATCCACTTCCCCTCCCAGTTATGGGTTAAATAGTAAAACTTTTATCAGAAAATCATTATTATCTCCAAAACATTCTTACAATCTAAAAATATAATAATAAGCTGTAAAAAAACAAATCAATAATTTTTTTCCCGTGTTCTACTTCACTGACAGATATCACAACAAAAAATTTTAAAAGTTGCATCATTTTTTCTGACAGAAAAGTGAGTGGTTTAGTGAGCACTTGGTTCAATCAATCACTCTCCCATAAACACTATGCATGCTGAGACAGCCAAAGTGAAAAAGCTGTTACTCATTTAGTCAAACATGAGAAGGTCAATATGTTAATCTGAAGGATTTAAGATTTTTGCAAAAAAAACAAAAATATGCAAACTAAATTATAAATATTTGAATTGAGAGAAAAGTAAAAAGATGGGTTATTATTTCCAGTTGGACTAATATCCTTAGCTTTGATTACTTGGATGTTGTTCTCTCTAGCCTTGATCAAGTACCTGTCAATCTGGGTAACATGTAGGGAATTTTGAACTGAACCCTTTAAATCAAACTCCAGGGGTACATGGTCCTCATTCCACTGTCCATTTCAGCATTAATTGTGTTTAGTTATTGTTAGTCTTGTTTCTGAGTTCGTCTCTAGCCCAGGGAATTTTATTCTAGCTCTTACAAAGCAAGAAGATATTTTTTGTCATGCAAGGGTACCACATAATTTTAGTTTTTTTGTCACCTTTGAAGTTTATTGTCATTTTATACTGAACTTGCTAAAACTTGTCTAATATTCTAAACCGGTTTTGTTATGAGCAAATAAACATAAAAAAAAACATACATCCACATATTTTGTTAGTAAAGCCATGATTCAAAACTGTAATTCTTCTGTTGTCTTTGTTTAAAAATAATATTTTTATTTGTTCTGTTAGAAAATTGATCTCATGCTTGAAAAAATTCAATTTTTAGTGTCATAATTTTAAATATATTTACTTAGCCTAAAATATAGATTTTGAGCATGAATAATAATAGCCCCTTTATCTCAACAATCAGTCTAGGGCTGTGGAGTTGGAGTCAAAAGCAATTAAGGGATTACTGTAGTCTGTAAAACTATTCCAGTTGAATTTACACTTTATGTAAAAAGTCTTACATTATAGAAATTTTATTTTTATTGTTATTTCTTCTACTGTATAATTACTATTTCCTCTAAAGAAATTCATCTCCACTTCATTTTTAAAGACATTTTATTTTTTTGTAGTTATTTTGTATTTGTAAAAAAAAAAAAAATTTACATTATAGAATTTTTATTTTTGTTTATGTGTTTTATATCCCGTAAAAAGATTGTATTTCAACTTCTGTTATAAAGTAGTTTTATTTTTTGTTCTAGACTTATTTCTTGTTTGCAAATATATATATATATATATATATATATATATATATATATATATATAAGCAAGTGTAAATGGATATAAATCCGACAGAATGAAGAAATTTTGAAAAAACAAACAAAATCCTTAAATGTAGTTAAAATGAAAGAAATGTGGACGTCTGACGTTTTCGGTTTAATAAACCTTTTTCAAGACAATATTCATCAAAATACAATTCAGTTCAATATGACAAATACGATGGACATAAAAACACAAGTCTTATTCAGAACAGATAACTGAAAATTTTTAAAATGATCAGCCTTCCGTCTAACATGGTCACGCCGTCATCACATGGGCAACGCTTTCATAACGTATTCCTAAAAGTTTGTGATTATTTTGAAATGAAAATGAAAAGAATTCTATTAGGTTCTAAAATTCTTATGTGTATGCTTGTTAAGCATCAATCTCGCTAAAAAGGGAAATATTAAAGAAACCAGGTCTAGTATTCACCGTGCGTGAGATGGATATTATACCTGCTTCATAAATCCTCCTGAGATTTTTATTATGAAAATATTTTAATACTTTCACGGAATCGAAAATCAAATTATGATCTGCTTTAGTTGTGTGTACAACTAAAGCATTGATAAATGCAGACGAATATCTCGTTTATGTTCGAAAACACGAGATTTTAAGGACCTACCTGTTTCACCCACATATTTTAGGTCACAATTTTTGCATGATATTTGATAGATGCAAGCATCGGATATATATATATATATATATATATATATATATATATATATATATGTGTGTGTAAAAACTCTTACGTTATAGCATTTTTATTATTTCTTCTATGTCCTTTCAAAGATTTTGTCTTTAATTCTGTTAGAAAATATTGAAGAATGAATAGGTATAAAAGCCACAATATCTTTATTCTTTGATATAAACCAGTTATAAGGATATAAGCCTACTAGAGTTAAGAGCATATGCATAAGCTTTATGAGATTTTAGGGCATAATCGCTTAATTACATTAAGAGGAGTCTGAGTTGGAGGTACCAAAAATAGAAGAATCTGAGTCAAAGGTTTTGTGTTCTGACTCCACAGCCCTGGTATTTATAAAAGGCTTATGACAACATTGTGCTGAATCACTGGTTCCTGTACGATCACCGAAATTAAGCAATGTCAAGCCTTGTCAGTACTTAGATGGGTGATCGCTTGAGAATATCAGGTGCTGTAAGCTTGGATGTACAGGTAGTATAATGGTTAATGGCTCTGAATTGTTAATAAGTCAGCCAAGTTTCAATTCCACTTGGGTTTGTTATATTTACTGAGGCACAAATACCCTTGGGAAAGATGTTACCCCCCCCCCCCCTTTTTACAGTGTAAAAATATTTTCTGGCTTTAAATAACCTGCAAAGAATTGATAAGCTATAAAAAATGAATGAATCAGTCAGTCAATTCTCTGGAATATAAATGCATAGAAACTACAGAGGGCCACAAAGTGAGGGTTCGGTTTATATATTAATTGTAATATAGAATTGATCCCCCACTTCATACTACACTAATTTCTTGATTGTTTATCAAATTCTCATTAGGTATAATCCATCTTTTTTCTTTTCAGCTAAGTTTTAATTAGTAAGGACTTGTATCATTAAATTGTTATTATTGTAAAAAAAAAAATTCTTACAATCTAAAAATATTTTCTGGCTTTAAATAACCTGTAAAGGGTTAAGCCATAAAAAATGAATCAACATATAATATCTTAATATTTACATTGTGTATTGTTTGTTTAATGGCATGTCAACGCTTTATGGGTCATTTAATCCCAAAATTTAATTTTCTTGAGAGTTTTGAAGTAATAAAAAAATGTTATTCTGCTTTCACAAGTGTGTACATGGTAGATGATACTCAGCTTTTGTGTATATATGTGTGGTTCTAATTACTAGAGGTGGTAATATGTGTGTTTTATGTTGTAGTTTTGTTGAAGTTATAATTAAATTGTAGGATATTATATAGTTCTTGTTGGTTGTTTGGTTGATTTTTTAGCAACATATCAACCTCTGTGCTATTTAATGCCGAAACCTAAATATTTTGAACGCAATTGCATGTCTTCAACTGCAGATAAAATGTACTGTTGGTAATTGTACTACAAATAGGTATTGTTGGTCACTTTACTATGAAAATGTATTTCTATACTTTAGCGTTTTGTTTTTGTTCTTGGATTCAGTATTTGTCCATAGCTGGGTCCATACAGGTGCTACCACCCTGGGTCAGAGTGAACCTGGGGACAACATGTAAGCAATTTTAAGGAATGTTAGAGAATGGGGAACATTAAATGGAAGTATGAGAAGAAATGCAAGTAGACAAAATAGGAATGGCTCAATGAAAAGTGACAGAAAAAATAAGGATCATAGATATGGTAGCTATGGATAAAAGAATAAGAGAAATTACAGGACAAAAGATAGACTCATCGACAGGATGCATAAAATCAAAAAAGGGAACACTCCTAATAGAAAAAGAAAAAATATTACAGAGATGGAATGAATATGTTGGAAAACACTTTCCTGACAAAATAGGGAGACCTACAGTATGCGAAATACAGAAGGACCTAAAATATTAAAATCTGAAGTCTAATTGGTATTGGACAATATAAACAGGGACAAAGCAGCAAGACCAGATGGGGTTGTAATAGAGATGCTATCAGCCTTAGGCGATTTTGGCATGAATAAGATTGTAAGAATAATAGATATCCCGTTGTTGGATTTATCTTGTGTTGTAGCATACCTATGGATGGTAATGGGTATATCCCCATTCACATGAATACAGTAGTAAATACTGTATATTGGTCTGCAGTTGGAGATTCATTATAGAATTCACTTGACTCACTTCTAGTTTTGACTGTTGGCAGTTGACTACTTCCACATGCTGCTGGTGAATCTTATATGTATTGTTTTTGTCCTGAGTATTATCATTCAGTACCAACCTTTGTGTGATTATTCTATTCAGTAAGCCTCTCTAGGTTACAATATCTTGTATCCAAGAATTTTATCTTTGCTGATCGTTTCCTTTATGATGATGGTGTTGATGACTAAATTCACCGTCAACATGCAAGGTCAGGACTAGAAGCTTGCAGTTTCACCAAAACCTCCCATCATTCATTCTCTATTGCTGTTTGGGTTTGCAAGAGTTGATTCGTGGTGAAAAAAATCAAAGTAGAAGAAAATACCGATGACATGAATTTGCCAGGAACTGACCCACACATGACCTTCCTTTGAGGCACATATAGAATGAGACTTGTAGAATCCAGATAAGAAACTGCAATGGACTGCTGCTGACTGTCATAATTTCAAGTGGCGCCTTCTGCAGCATATCCATCATGTGTAGTCCTCTTCATCTGCTGGTTCAATCATTGAGATCTGTTGTAATTGTCATCTGTTTGTCCCACTGTTGGTGACTTTGGAGTTGGTCATGCTTAGTCTAAGTCCTCGTCTTTGACTTTGCAGCCAAAGGTGGACCTTCCAGGAGTTTAGAATAGAGTGTGTGGCAGAGTTAGAGAGGAAATAGGACAAGAACAGTGCAGTTTCATCAAAGATACTAGAACAAGAAATGCAATATTTATGATCAGAATGGTATCAGAACACTATAAAGCAGGATGTATACCTATGTTTTATAGACTACAGATGCATTTGATAAGATACAACATAAAGACCTATTTGAACTGGTAGGGAAACTTGATTTATTTTGGAAAGACAGAATAATCCAGAATATATACAGGGAGCAAACTGTCTGCATATGGATAGAAAATGAGTAAGTACACTAAAAGTGAATGAGGTGTAAGACAAGGATGCATCTTCTCACCAGATTCATTTAATCTTTACAGTGATCATATGACAACTAGAAGTCTTACAAGGATTTATTATTGGTGGGCACAATCTTAACAACATAAAATATGCAGGTGACACTGCATGGATGGTAGACATAGGAAGGGAACTTCAGGGACCCCTAGATCAGGGTTTCTCAACCAGTGGGGAATTCCCTCCCCCTCCCCTAGGAGGAACAATCTTAGAAAGGGAGAGGATGATATCTTGATTTTTGGTGAAAAGGGTACATTGGGCAAAATATGTTGAGAACCACTTGTCTAAACAATGTCGTAAATGAAATCAGGAAGAAAAGACTTGTAGCCTTCAGTTGTCAAAAGATAGACTGTATCATTGTCAACAAGAACACCACCCCAAAATGTGATCTATCAATTGGCAATGTCACAATCAAGTAAGTAGGAAAATTTAAATGTCTGGGAAGTGTTTTAACAGATGACATAAAATGACGTGGAAATCTGAAGGTGCAGTGGAATACAGAAAGATGCCTTCTAAAAGCTAAATACTGTATTAAGAAACAGGAAAATCTTCCTAGAACCAGAGAAAAGATTGATGAAGAAGAGACTTCAGGCAACAGAAATGTGGTTCTACAAAAGGATACTGAGAATTCTTTGGACTGAATATGGGAGTAACAAAGTTTTAAGGAAAATGAAAATGGAAATTTCTAGGTCACATAATGAAGAAAGATGGCTTAGAGAATTGGACATTCACAGAACATTGAAGGTAAAGACAGATGGAGGATACTGAGTAATCTACTTAACAAACCTGTGTAAATTGATGACAGAACAAGGAGTTGGAAAGGATAAAAAAAAAAATGAATATTACTAAGAGCTACAAAAGATAGGAAGTTGTGGAGAGTCATGATCACTCACATCATGTGGGACATGGCATATAGAAGATAAAAAAGAAGAAATATCAAGTTTAAATCTAAAGTAATGTGTTAAATTCTTGAGATGAGTTATTGTTATAATTCTTTCTCTGTAAGAGGAAAAATTCTTGATATACTCTTGACAGGTCAAGTTAATGTGAGAAAAGCCGATAAGGAGAAAACTGGATTTGGATTTCCATTAATTATGGATAATAATGCTATTTTTATTTTGTGCTTGCATTCATTCCTGACCACTGACAATCCCTTTCATCCTGGTTTTTAAAATAAAATCATTAGCAATGCATTTACATTATACATATAATAGCCCTATTTTATCAGTATTGCTTGCATTCATTCCTGACGACTGACAATCCCTTTCTTCCTGGTTTTTAATGCATTTTTAAAATAAAATCATTAGCATTGCATTTACATTATACATATAATGGCTCTATTCTCTCAGTAATACTTGCATCCATTCCTGACCACTGACAATCTCTTTCTTCTGATTTCCAATGCATTTTTGTTACAAAATCATTAGCAATGCAGTTATATAAAGAATATGGTAAGCTTGTGTTATAGTGGGTGAATTTTTTTTTTCTTCCACCGTATGAGTAAGAATCCACGTCGTCAAGTGTTGTAGAGTAAACGAAAAGTTTTTTTTTTCCTTCGTATGAGTACGAATTCCTCGTCGCCAAAGTTGTTATAGAGTAGTTTCGCAGTGGAGGCTGGTATTTCACTAAGTCTGTCCTAAAAAGGTTTGATGTACAAAACGTTAGGAACTTGATATAATAGTTAATGATGCAGCAATCTAGTTGTGGTGGTTGATACTTTAATGTCTGACATCTGACCAACTCACTGAGCGACTGGTGACTGCTACTACTCCTACTTATTATAGGTGGGAGAATCTAACAATAGAATAAGTGTGTTCCAGTATAACAGCTTGAAAAGAGAGTTTCCGTTATAAGTGTCCAAAGTGCAATATATTCTTCTTGGTTTATTTTTTTGTATATGCTTCACTTGGAATGTTTTTTCCCCCCTTTGGTTTCAAATTAATTTTCTTCTGACAAGAAATGTCAATCTGCTGACATAATCCGAAATGATTTTGCTGCCCCCTCTCAGCAAATGTGAACTGAAAAGCATATTCATGTTCAGTGATGGTCAGTGTCCAATTTTCCAAGCAAGGAGATAGAAAAAAAAATAGGTTAAAATTTTTAGATTATTTTTCTAAATCCCTAGTGGAATTTGAGTTTTTTATTTGTTTTGTTTTTCAATTTTGTTTTATTGTTTGATGATATGTAATTGGTTTTTGCATTCAGCCTTTGTGTTTTGACCAAGACATATTTATCACTTTGGTTTTAACCCATTCTCATCTTTGTTTGAGGGACAACATCAATCATGATGAGAGTCAGGATAATTCTAACAGCAACTAGATTACATGAGCCATAAGAAAATGATTGCATATTTTGTTAAGTTCTTTACACTATTAGAAGGTTTT